AACAAACTAAAATAGATGATTTACATGCCTTTACTGGATCAAATATTCCTAAAGAAGTGGAGATTTTTCCACCACAGTTTTCAAAGACAAAAGGAAGCGGCAAACGAATTAAAGGTGGCAAAGAGAAGGCTATTGAACAACAAAAAAGGACAAGGCTTTGTAAAGCATGTGGACAACATGCATATCATGATAGTCGTAATTGTCCTCTAAAATCATCTCCTTAATTTTGGTAAGAAATCTAATTTGTTGTCCAATATAGTATTTTACTATCCAAAACATTATGCTTGTTGTCCATTCTTATGATTTTGTTTTATTTTCATAAATTGGATTAGCTGTCATAATTCTTATGTTTGTTTTCTTTTCATACACAGGATGGACTCATAACTGATATGGTGGAGATCACTTGCCTAATGTCTCCTGAGTTTAGTTCCTCACTTACGTTATGATTTAGAATTTGGTTCAAATTGTATCTAGACAAATGTGGTTACATTTAATTTTTCTGGTTTGTATATTCATATATGAATTCAAGGACCTTTTTTTTCATTATTATGATTTTTGTGTTGTGATTTAGTTCAAAATTACAAAGCAAAGACAAAAAAAAAGAACAAGAAAAGGATATGACAATGGGCAATGACAACCCAAAAACTGTTATATTAATAAGAAGTTTAATTTACATGTGGTTGAAGCCTATTTACATTGATATTTACAAGAAGAAGTAAAAAAAAATGCAAGCAATTGACTCTCTAAGCTTCCTTTTAATTTTCCCATCTCCAAGGCTGCTTCTGGATCACTCCTTATTGTGAAGTCAAGATTATGTTGCAGTACCTTATCTTGCATGAATGGCTGCAAAATATTTTTCAAATGGAAAGTATCAGCAAATGAAATTTTCTTCATTTCAACACTATCATCACCTAATGATTTTAACAGTAAAAAGAAAAAAATCAAGAAATAAACAATGAACATTGATACGTTGGATGAAATTATTGGACACATTTATTTATTTAAAGTCACGTATGATCCAGTATGCAGAAAGGAAAGTTAAGAGCTGAGATACCTCCTCATTGCATCATCCCGTCGTTTAGCATCCACTTCCTTGCTTGGGGAATATTTTGGAAGACTAGATGGATCACAAGCATAAGGTTCTATGGTAAAGAACTGCAAGACGTAGGAACAGACAAGAAAGCTAAATGTAAATGGGTTTGAATTTAAAAAGATAATCAAAACTCAACAAGAATAACATCTAAACCAGATTCAAGGTAGTTTCATTTGATCAATTCTTACACGGATATACCTATGTAACATTAATTTTAGACCATCTACATACTTTATTGTGAAAAAAATAAATAAAACAAGTCATCCATTCCATGTAGAATTTTTATTTAATTTTAATTTCAAAGAAAACACGACAAAGAAAATTATTGAATCTATTCTAAGATGCCCTTCACTATAGTAGAGGGAATGGTGATTCCTTTGTCCAAATGTTTGAACCAAGGTAGCACGCTATATCAATGGAAGAATTCCTCTTTCAATCACTTTCTCTTCCCACTTTCTCAAATAAACATTCTAAATACTCTCTCTGTTTTCTTTTAGATGTACATTTCACACATAACTAGCCAAAACATTCTCTTTCAATCATGTCTTTATTTTTTTGCAGACTAAAATACCTATGATAATATAAGCAAACAATAAACATACAATTAACGAACACACGACCCCTATGCCTAACCCAAAAAAAAAACCAATTCACCATAGTAATCTACCTTCAATATGTCATTTCTTTTCCTTATCATAGTAGAACACCAATCCAATTCCAATGGTTACCAGCAAGAGTGATGAGTCATTATTTTCCCCTATTTTCTTACCTTTCTGTACTTATTTTAATCTCTGATTTGCGCTTAACTGTTGATTATATCCACTGTTTTCTATTTGGGCTTTAATTGGACCGGTAATTCATATTTTAACTAATTTGAGTTTTCAAAATCTAATTATTCCAAAATTTTATTTTCAGAGCAGTTTAGTAATTATCTGGGCTTGGAATTAATTTCTGGATTTCAAGTGGAGCTGCCACATCATCTGCCATGTCATTTTTCCACCTCAGCATTTAATTTCATTTTTTTTATTCTGTTTTATTTGTAATTTTCGGGTCAGACCTAACCTGGGGCCCATGTTGACTCTTTTAGGTTTATTTTAGGGTCCTAGGGCAGCCACCAACCTCCAGACTTGATGTGACCACGTTGGGGCTGCCTCTCTTGAGTTTTCTGGACGTTTTTCCTTCATGCAGCTACAGTGTTTTGATGTTTCTGATTCCCTGTTGCTTTCATTTACGTTTTGCTCTCTTTAGCTGCCATTTTCGTTTTACTCTCTTCTTCTCCTCTTATATGCATTTTGTATCTGAACTGAACCTTTACATTTGAAATACAGATTGTCATTTTCGTTTCCTTCTCTGCCTTGCATTTTCGTTTTCTGTTTTCATTTTAATATGGAAGGCTAAAAACCCCTGGGTTGGGTTCTTGTTGTGGATTGTAATCTCTCTTTGAGGTTGGGTATGTTTGTATGTCTCTGTTCTGCTTGTTCTTCTCCATTTAACCTCTCTGTCCATGCTTAATGGGCTGTGCTCCAAGCCACAGTTGCTTAATCTGTGAAAGGGAAATCTTGAGTTAATCTTCGCTTAGTTGGTTAATTCGGATGGAACAAGGATTAAGTGGTTAATAGAGTAATGTTTGAGAACCAGGGATAAAAGAGTTACAATCCGAACAAGTAGCCAATCCATTTTTACTTGCTGTTTTATTTCGTTTTATTGTGTTACGAACTGAAAACCTGAAAGCAAACCCCCCTACTGTGTGTTTAAGCCTTTAACAGTAAACGACGGTCCTTGGGAGACGACCTAGGAGTCACTTCCTAGTACTACATTTAATTTTATTTATTTGACCGGATACGGCTCCGATCAAAGAGAAAGCTTAACCAAGAAACAGGCTGCAAGACCGAACGTCAAATCAGCTCAAAAATCTAGCCCCCATCACATAAAATTCACATGAACTAGAAAAATAAAATTGCTGAAGGAAGAAGAATCACATTGCTAACAACAATAACTTTAGATATATACAGACCCCTCCGCGGACAAGTTTCTCTTGAATTGAACCGGTCACGAAACTATGGAATTCTTGCTGCGGTTCGCAAACAGATGTTAAAATCTCTTCAATCGACATCACGTGATTTGAATTTGATGTCCTTCACCCCCGTGCTCTCCGACTCCGTCACCGCAGCCAAGGCAGAGGAGTACGTCGGCCACTACAAGCGCCAGAGGGGAGAAGGGAATCCGCGAGTCTCAAATTCAATCCCTAAACCCTTGCAATCGTTAGAGCCATGTTTTGGTCTCTTCACATTGGAAAGCAAGAAGATGGCAGGGAGCTTTCTGAATTGTTTAAGTTCTAATTAATTTTAATCTGAACCCTTAAATTAATCTAAGGGTTATTATTTAATCTTCTTACCTTCTCACAATAACATGTCTTCTCACTTGATACGCTCCCTATATATATATATATATAATATATATATATATATATATATAAAATACACACTACTTATTGTTTTGATCAAACGCATAGTACTTATTAACACAGATAGCTAGTTTTTTTAGGCTGAAGTCATGCCACTGTGAATGTGATGTGAAAGTGAACTTGGACGTTTGCTGGGTGAATAAAGACAGACTTCAGTTAGGCTATTGGCACATAAAAATCAATTCGGGAATCTCAATATCGTTTTCAATATCAATTGGATTATATAAGTGATGTAGATTTCTCTTCCCAACTCTTCTATATAGACTTGATTCAACTTATTGATCACATTATTCACTATAATAGAAACTTGATCCTTAGGATCACCAAATTATTATATGATATCCAAGATGTGGGAATAAATTCTAGGAGTTATCTCAAGCACTCTTTAAATCCGAAGATGCTGATATTAATTTAACCATGGATTCGAAGGCCACGATTAATAATTGCGGTATTGCTAATGCTACTCATATATTACGTTTACATAGAAAATTTTACAATTTAAAAGAGAAAGAAGAAGAAAAAAAAATAAAAGTGTTAAATAAAATCACTTGTGTGAAAATGTCATTTTATATCAATTGTTTAATAATTAAAATAAAAAGTAATGTAGTAACATTTTTAAAATTTTGAAGACATTTTGTACTGCAATAATTGTCACTTAATTAATATAGAATACATATATCTTCTACTTTATTTATAGTTTGAACTAATGTAAAAAGTGGTATTCAACATCAGTTGAACTTATATTCGATGTAGAAAAGTTTAAACACATTGAGAGACACATTTTCGCTTTCGTGCTCTCTTTCTCATGCCAAGCTCAACCCTTTGCTCCAACATGATCACCATCCCTTTATACAACCTATGTTGGTCGGATGTTTAGGATATTGACATTGACGAGAGCCTTCCATTGTGGTTCATTGGTCCTCTATTGTTTGTTTTATGTGATGGTTAAATTGTTGATTGTTGTGTTTTGTGTTGGTTTCATCAATTCTGAATTGCATGTGCGTGTGTGTGAATAAAATAACATAAAAGAAACAGAAAAATATTATATAATTTATTTAATGTGGCTTGACCATTTTTTTTACATCCATAAAGATATTCATTATCTATATGTCCCTTAAAATTCTTCATTTAAGTTTTGTGGAAAAAATTTAAAAACTCTTTCCACACAATTTTTATGTATGAAACTTATAAATCTCTTTTTCATAAGTTTTATGAGTGAAACTCGAAAATCTCTTTTTGACAATTTTTATGGGTGAATCTTCAAAACCCTTCCTTCGTAAGTTTTTTGGTGAACCTCCTTCATAGATACATTATCTCATTTAAGATAGTGATTACCTCTATAGGTTCAATGATTTCTATCATTCCAATAACCTCTATTTATTGACCTAATATCTTAATCACTACTAGAAAAATTAATATTTGTGACGGAAAAAATATCTAACAGTCTCAAACAATTTTGAAAAGTTATCAGATGAAGGAGGAATGGGGTCGATTACAACACTGAACCATTCTGAGTGTGTGAAGCACAATGCATGCCATACCCACCACAACTTTGGAAACTTATCATCTTTAAAAGAGTTATGGTTAAGTGGAATTAATGATGTGAGCTTGTTTGCAAACATCCAAAACCTTTCACTGCTGCAAGTACTTCACCTGGAAAATTGTCAAAACCTTGTGTCTCTGCCACAACTTCCACCATCACTGGGTGTGCTTAGTTTAAGTGATTTAAGGGAACTCGTGTCTCTACCACAGCTTCCACCATCCCTTGAAATTGTTCAGTTAATTGACTGTAGGAAACTCGTGTCTCTGCCACAGCTTCCACCATCCCTTGAAAGTCTTCAGTTAAATGACTGTAGGGAACTCGTGTCTCTGCCACAGCTTCCACCATCCCTTGACAGGCTTTTGTTAAATGATTGTAGGAAACTCGAGTCTCTACCACAGCTTCCACCATCTGTGACATATGTGAAAGCCATTAACTGCACTCTTCTAGGGACAGATTTCACTCAACGGATAGCATTACAACACATGTTGAGTCGCTCACAGAGCCTTAACTTCGGTAAGTTTTTCATGTTCCCAGGAGACCATGTGACCGACAAGTGTGAGTTTCAAAAAGCAGGGACTTCAATAACTATTCCTTACCTCTCACCGTCGAACTTGTGTGGTTTCATTTGTTCCCTCGTCCTTTACAGGGGATCATACGATGGTATTGTTTCGTCTTCTGTCTATCAAGATGACGAAGGGGTCTTCTACGACAATTACTTAGTCTCCAAAAATCTAACTTCAGATCACATTTCATTTCACTATTTTAAACCAAAAGATCTTTCCAACGACGTACCATTGAAATTTGAATTTCATTTCTATGAACGGGGTAGTCGTAAAGATTACAGTCAAGAGAGAATAAAAGAGTGTGGAGTCTTCCCAGTGTATGCCTCAAGCATGGAAATTAGAGTTGGAGAATCTGATGATGAAAATGAATTGGAATCCATTTCTCAAATCAATAATAATGAGTCTCAGCCTAGTGAAAATGGAGATGCAGTTGGAGTTGGAGTTGGAGGCTCTAGTAATGAAAATGGATTGGAATCCATCACTCAAATCCATGAGAATGAGTCACAACATGAATCCATTAGAGTTAAAGGCTCTAATAATGATAATTAATGGGAGTGGGGATTTTATGCTTATTAGACTACTTCATTGGTATGAAACTTCACCTAATTCACTTCTTTATTGTAGGCTCCTTATTTTGAACTCTTTTCTTAAATTAAATTATAACTTCAAATATAGTAGTTATATGCTGGAAATACTCTTGATTCTGAAAAATTATAACTTGTATATTACAATAACAATGTGTTCTACTCCAATGTTGAACAGGTTTTCTTTTGAAACTTGGTGGGAAGAGCTCTCTAGCATGGTGGAATAGTCAAAGCAATATTCAGAACTCTTTGATGGTCTATTTCACGTCATTTACAAATAAAAAGAGATTATTTATTCTACAGTAGATGAGTGATATATCAAACTATGATGGTAATGAGTTTATGATTCAAAATAAGAAAACCTTTCTTTGTCTCTTGTCAATAAGATGAGTGATATCAAATTATGATGTGCTAGGAATGTTTCTCTGTTCAGACAATCTAATAAAATAAATGATCTGAATCGAATTGTTTAAATTTGTTTAGTTTTTTCTTGATCGGATCAAATAATATCCAAATCAAATAAATTCAACTTTTATTGATTTTGGATTACGAATTTATATTATATAAATTTGATGATTCAAAAAATGAAAAAATTAAAATTATTATTATTATTTTATTTCATTATTATAATTATCTTAATATTATTTTATAATATGATTTTACTAGTAACGCATAAGTGCAATATTATTTTGTTGTACTAATAACACTCTAGCAATATTACATTTATAGTAATTTTTTTATGATATTATTATTTAATAGTAATATTAATATATTTATAATATTATTATTTTATTAGTTATCATACACTCTCTTATAAATTATCATACAATTCATATTTGGACACACATAGCACACACTCTACCATTCAACTTTGTCACTTTTTTGCTAGTTCAAGAGTCGTTGTTCAATTAATTTTAATCTAGCAATTAGACTTAGTACCAAAAAAATTTAGCATTTATTTTCACTCAATATATTATTTGCATATTGGCATTTAAGTTGAGAAAAAAATGGATGAGGAGTACTTTAATAATAATTGTAACTTAGAAAATTATTTTATGTTCAAGAGACTCTTCATTTAAATATTTATTAACTTTAAATGTTAAAGTATGTTTAAATACTTTAATTTCATATTTTTTTTATATTATTTTTATTTATTCTTAGATTTTATTTATACTCTGTAACACCCAATTTTTTATTATTATTTTAATGGCATTTTCGTAATTTTAATAAAGTTATAGGGATATTTTGGGTTCCGGAACGGGCCGTTCCAAAAGTGGAACAGGCTGTTCCAAATGTTGAAAATGTGAAATTTTTGTAGTCCCAGAACGGGCCGTTCTGGTGTGGAGAACGGGCCGTTCTGTTGAGATTTGAGAACGGGCCGTTCTACTTTTTCGGAACGGGCCGTTTTGATTTTGGAACGGGCCGTTCCAGTTGAGAAATTTGCACAAATTCGAAGGATCCGGAACGGGCCGTTCCGAATTCAATACGGGCCGTTCCGGGTACACCAGTTTGCCTATAAATAGGAGGCTGAGGGGTGAAAATTTTAGAGAGAGAAAGAGGAAGAGAGAGAGAGAAAGAGAAAGAAAGAGAGAGAGAAAGGAGGAGGGAATCCAGAGGAGGAGGCTTTGCCCAAGTTTCAACTCCGCTTATCCAGGTAAGGGGGGGGAGTGAGAACCTCGCTCAGGGGTGTGGGGATAATTGTTGGATAGTTTATTTGTCGGATTGGCCCCCAATCCCTTGCCGTTGTTGTATTGAGAGAGAAGTAGTAGTTGTGGTAATTGTTGTTGATGTTGTTGATATTACAATGAAGCTCTAATTTGCCTATTTATAGGCATGATGCTCCATCTCTAGTTGATGGTGGAAATATCTAGAATTTTCTAAACTTTTCAAGTCTCTACACTCTTTTAGATTTTTCTAGAGACTTATACATTTTATCTTTATGTTTCTAGATTTTTCTTCTTCTTTCTTATACAATTATCTTATGTTTCTAGAATAATCTTTTCTTTTCTAGAATTTGCATCATAATTTAACAATGAAGTTCACTATTGAAAAATATTTCCAATATTTTCTATTCAATAACCTAAAAATAAATTTTAATATCGATATCTTCAATAAGCCGACTCTTTTATAACTTTTATTTTATTCTATCCATAGATTCTTTATGTGTATTTGGAAACTTTTAGTTGCGTTAGATGCATGAGCGCATGCGTATGTAGAATAATAATTTCCATGGTAGTTTAAATAAGTTCATTGTGTAGAAAAAACATAGATATTGTTTATCTTCTCTAAGTCATTGAATTTTTATTCCTCAATTATATCATTTTCTCTATTATTCTAACATATTGATCTATGATTATGTATAATCATTTGTATAATTATTTTTTTTTCTATTGTATTTGTTAGGCTCATAACACAACATTTATTTCATTGTTTCTTCTTTCATATGCTAGGACTGAATCAGAACTCCTTAAGGAAATTGTTGGAGATGTTTTGCAAAAATTGACTCCTACATACCAAAACCAACTTAAAGGTCTGGTAGGAATTGAGGACAATTATGAGGAAATTGAATCATTACTGAAAATTGGGTCAACTGAAGTGATAACCATTGGAATATGGGGTATGGGTGGCATAGGAAAGACCACCCTAGCCACTACTTTGTATGCAAGATTGTCTCCTCGGTTTGAAGGTTGTTGTTTCCTGAAAAATGTAAGGGAAAATTCAAGCAGCCATAATGGACTTGAAGCTTTACATAACAAACTTTTCGCCAAGTTGTTAGAGATTGAAAATCATTGTTTTGATATGAATTTTGTGAGGCGTAAGCTTAAACATAAAAAGGTTTTAATTGTGTTGGATGATGTGGACACCTTACAACAATTAGAATATCTAGTTGAAGATTATGATTTGTTGGGGCCAGGAAGTAGAGTCATTGTTACAACTAGAAATAAACAAATTTTTAGTCTAGTTGATGAAGTATATGAGGTCAAGAAATTGAGCTCTGATCAATCTCTTCAACTTTTTTGTTTGACTGTTTTTGGAGAAAAACAACCTAAACATGGATATGAAGATCTTTCAAGAAGTGTAGTTTCCTATTGTAAAGGCGTTCCTTTGGCTTTAAAAGTTATGGGTGCAAGTCTTCGTCGAAGAAGTGAAGAGGTATGGGAAAGTGAATTGAGAAAACTCCAAAAGATTCCAAATATGCAAATTCATAACATTTTAAAATTGAGTTATGATGGCTTAGATCGTTCTCAAAAGAACATCTTTTTAGACATTGCCTGCTTACTGAAAGGAGAAAACAAGAATTCTGTAACAAGTCTACTAGAAGCTTGTGGTTTCTTTGCAGTATCTGGAATCGAAGTCCTTTTGGACAAAGCTCTCATAACAATTTCAAATTACAATTCGATAGAAATGCATGACTTGATACAACAAATGGGTCAAGAAATTGTTTATCAAGAATCCATCAAAGATCCGGGAAGACGAAGTCGATTATGGAAACATGATGAAGTGTATGAAGTATTGAAATATAACAAGGTAAGTGGAAAATTTAATGGTTTATTTATGTACTGTAGCTAGTATGATAGCCCAACCAATTATTATTTTTAATTTTTTTTAACAGGGAACTGATGATGTTGAAGGGATAATTTAAAATTTGGATACATTAACTGAGGATCTGTGTTTGAGCTCTGATTTCCTTGCAAAGATGCCTAATGTGAGATTTCTTAAAATCCATACAAAGCACCGGAATAAAAAAAAATTTAATGTGTCCCTTCCTCATGGTCTCAAGTCATTCTCTTATAAATTGAGGTACCTTCAATGGCATGGATTTTGTCTCAAGTCTTTGCCGTCTAACTTTTGTGCTGAACAACTTGTAGAGCTTCACTTGTCTCTGAGCAAGGTTAAAAGGCTTTGGAATGGGGTTCAGGTAGAAATGTGACTATACTTGCTACATTTTTTTTCTCTAAGTTTTTAAAGGTACAAGTGAGCCTTGAATGGTAACTAGTTAGGTTTCTCTTTTAGTTAAGGCCCATGATTATCAATTTAAATTTTTTCTTAACATTGTGATGCATCTTTCTTGTTACAGGATCTTTCGAATTTAAAGACAATTCTCTTAGATGACTTGCCAGAGCTGGTTGAGATGCCGGACTTATCTATGGCAAGAAAACTTGAACGTATTTCTCTTCAATATTGTATAAGTTTGCGTGAGCTCCATCCGTCCATCACGTCTCTCCCTAAGCTCACACAGTTGGAGTTATTTGGACTTTCAAAAATTGATATCCTTAAAGTTCATTCAAAATCTCTTCGTAAACTTAGCACCTTGGGTTGTTCATCATCTCTCAAGGAATTCTCAATTACATCAAAGGAAATGACTACTTTGGAGTTATTGGAAACCACTATAAGTGCATTGCCGTCATCAATTTGGGAAAATAGGAAACTTAGTAAACTTACTCTAACAGTCTCAAACAATTTTGAAAAGTTATCAGATGAAGGAGGAATGGGGTCGATTACAACACTGAACCATTCTGAGTGTGTGAAGCACAATGCATGCCATACCCACCACAACTTTGGAAACTTATCATCTTTAAAAGAGTTATGGTTAAGTGGAATTAATGATGTGAGCTTGTTTGCAGAGAGATTTGTTTATTTTATGGAGCAAGTTTACTTAGACTTACTCTTATTAAATAATTCATATTTTACATCAAGTTCAACAATTAAACTGTTGAATTTAAATGCATAAATCAAGTTTGTAAATTTTAAAAAAAATTAAAATCATTATATACTTTGTTCGATTAATTCAAATTGATCGATAATCATAACATCATTTTATACATTGATTTTATGATTATACGTAAATTTGAATTAATCAAATGAAATATCAAATGGTCTTCAAATCTTTTTAAAATTTGTAGCTTAACCTATGCATTAAGAACTTTAAATTAAACAGTTGGATCGTTGAAAGTTGATGTAAAACATGAGTTATTGAATAAAGTAGGTTTATGTAAAACATGTAAAATTGGCCCATACCCACCTCATATCCATGCGGGTATTCATTAATCGGGTATCCATAAATTTCTTGAATATCCATGGATATTTATAAATTTTTTAAGAAATTTAAAAAATTATATTACAAATAATTTTAAGTTTATTTTTAATGTCATTGAAATATTAAAAATAAAATTCAATATAAATTTTAAACTTGTATTTAACATTAATTTTGTTGAAATAATAATAAAAATGTAAGATAATCAATAACTTAAAATACATCAATCTCACAAGTAAATTAAAGTCTCATCACAAAACTACAATAATTCAATATCATAATTCCAAACGAAAGTAAACAATTTAAAATACATAAATCTTATTGGTCCAATCAAAAATAGAAAATTAGTCAAATTATATCCAACATAATTTTATAACATGTTTAAGACATGTTGGTAACTTCATCAACTTTTGTAAGCCTAGCCTAGCCTATCAACCTATCTAAAGGCCTATTTATTAGTTTATTTTATATTGCTAATTATATATATATATATATATATATATATATATATGTAATATTATTATTATATTATATAATAAATGGGCTAATCTATTAGGCATAACATGTTCTTCTATAAGTCTAAGTTTTACAATTTTACATAAATAGGTTTTTTAAAATCCTAAGTCTGACCTTTTTATTAAACAGGTTAAGTCAGACCAAGCTTTAAAGATGCTAGATCATAGGCACCTGTTTAAGGCTTGACTTATTCCCATCCCTACCTCGTATTCAGGTGTGTCTAAAATGTTACAAGGTATGGTCAGGATAGCTAAGTCACACAAGATATGTCTCATGCACATGAGGATAGGATTAACACTTTCCAAACTGAGCTATCCCCAAGATTGGTTCCCAAGCTTTTACACAAGGGTTTTCCCTAGCAGTGTATTCCATATTTGACCCCAAAAACACATTTTTATCCAAATGATGCATGTCAAACAGACTCAATGCATTACATCCACATGAACTTATAGTTTCGCATTTCACAAATTTCTCATATCACATTACTCATCATTCATGTTCATATATTCATATATAAATATCAATTCACATTCATAACAACAACACAATACAAGAGTTACACATGGAAATCAACAAGAATAAAAAAATATTTATAAGTAAGAGGTGCCCAATGGCATACGCCCTACACCTAGTGCAAGTCATCTAGAGATCCACATTAGTCTTTGTACGGATCAGGCTCGGTGTCAGTCATCTTATGCTCGATAAAAACGTCAAAAGGGAGCCCTTGAAGCTTCTGTGCCCAACAAGGGTCATCCCATGCCTAGTGTGAGAGACCTCGAGAACAATCTTTGTTATTGGCCTTAACAACGCCAAATGTTCCTCAAGTGGTGTCTGACACTATATCAAAAATCATACATATTTTAGAATCACGAAATTGAAAACATGCACATCTAAACCAAAATTTTACATTCCAATTGGTAAAAGCATTCTAAATCATGTAATAAACATTCTATATAACAAAATTTATGCATACAATTACATACTTAAACAATCTCCTCATACAACCACCAATGCATTCCCTTAGGATTTCCCACAAGAACCCATAAGAACATCAAAAAATATAATTTCAAGCCAATCTTGAAAATTACCAACATATATATACAACTTACATCAAATAAAACATAGAAGGAGAAACAGAGAAAATAAGACACATTTGGGAAAAATCCCTTGATAGACCATGGGCCAAGGGCCCAATCACTAGAGCTATGGCTAGGAGCATACAAGAAGAGTTGGACATCTTGAAGACTAGTGGGGTTTCTAAGCCCACGGTACTCTTCACTTGGACTACTCTATCATGAAGAGAAGGCCTAGTTCTACTTGTGTATATTTTGTACATAGTTCTCTTGTATAAGGTTATTTTTGCCTTTGTATTTGTGAGGCACATTATTACATTTTATTAGTCATTGTATATTGTTTCTAGGATAGGTTACTTGGAGACTTTAACTCCATTTAACCTAATCTTGAAGTACATTCATGTTCTATTTTTTCACTAGTAGAAGTGGGGTGATATTTAGCAATGCTTGAGGGTGTGACTAGTAATTGGGCCAGAATTGGGCCTAGGAAAAATTTTACATATTGGAATCATTTTTATCCTAATTTTTCATAGATTTGATTTACCTAGGTCACATCATTATTGGATAAACCTAACTAAACCAAATCAAGCATTTTTGAAATAATTCAAGTGAGCAAAAGTGAGTTTGGCCGCCTAGCTTGCCTATCCTTCTCTTTGGTCGAATTTCTTCTCTAAACATCAAGGAGTTGAGAAACTTGTGCTACAAGCTTCTCCTTAGCTTGCTTCCCAAGCAAGCTAAGTGAGAAGCCACAAGTTTCTAAACTCACTTGGAAGGTCAACTAACCTCACTATGGTTCCTAGTGAACCATGGTTAAGGTTAGCTTGCTCCTTAAGCTACCTCTTTCTATAAATTTGTAATTACAACTCTTGTGCTCACTTTTGACATATTTTGAGAAATATAATTCAGAATTCTCTCTCAACTCAAGAGTCTCTATTCTATCGAGAACAACTCTCCTAGTTCTCTCTCAAAGGTTTTCAACCTTGAAGCTTGGTTCCTCAAGCTTCCCTACCTTTTCAAGAGGTAACCGAACCTCTTTGGATGCTTCTCCACCATTGGAGGCTTCTCCAAGGTGTTTCATCCTTCTTCAAAGAGTTCAACCTCAATGAGCAAGATCTTGGATGGTGGAGAATTGAAGAACAACAATCTTCTTCAACCTTTTTCCATCATTTTTGGTATCTAGAGCCTTGTTGCTCTTGAGGTTTTGTGTATCTTCTCCTTTTCTTGAATCCGTGTTGTTTCTTCCAAATTTTATGTCACTTCTTGTGTTTTTTGTATGGATCTAGATTTTAATACATACTTTGATGGATCCTATATGTCACATGAGAGTTAATTGATTCATGATTTTGCTTGTTCCTATTTTCCTTGAATCAATTTGTTTTGTGCTTTTAGGTTTCCATGAACTTGTGCGTTTTGATTTTTGCTTTAGTCTTCTCCATTCTTAACATGAGTCTGTGATTGGACAACATGCATATAAAATTAGCTTTGTTTTTGAATGACATGTTTTGTCTAAGAAGTCATGTGTAGTCCTTTATGTGCCATGAATTCCTAGAATAGCTTGTTTAACCTAATTTTTGTGTTGTTTTTTGTGTCTATATCATTTTTTTTGTTTTCTATTCTTGTGCCTACCTATAGTGCTTTTGATTTACATGATTGAGTTCATAATTTGCTATTAGTTCTAGCAAATTTCATAGAGTTAGGTTTCCTTTATGTCACATTCAAAAGTTTTGTCAAGAAAATTTCTAAACACTATTCCTATTAGGTTTCTTTGAGTCTTGCTTTGTGGCTGAAAATTTTATCACTTTTTAAGTCCTCAAAACAGAGGCAAAACAGAGGTGAAAGTGTACTAAAAGCTTTGGAAAAACAAAAGAAAAGAGTGCTTTGTTGAGCTTAGAAGAGCTTGAAGCTTAAAGGAGTTTTGATGATCACAACATGTGTACAACAACAACTTATGATCACAATGTGTGTGTACAACAACAACTTGGAAGCACAAAAACAAAGTCAAGAAAATACTATGTAATAGAGTTTAGAAAATTGTTGAAAATTGTTGTGATTGAATTTTTGTGTTGTGTATGCTTTGTGCATAAGCAAATTCTATATCTGAACTAAGTAGAGAATATATGATGATGAGTTAAAAAGGTTAGGAAGTTATTTTGAGACTTAAAACAAAGTTTTGAAAAGTAACTCAAAATAATCAATTATCATTAAATATAATCGATTATTCCAGCAATAGGCAGATTGAGATGCCTTGCTGCAATAATCGATTATTTGCCAAAATAATCGATTATCCCAGGAACAACTCTCTGGAATAATTGATTATCCAGCAAAATAATCGATTATATTGTTCTTGGTTGATTTCCAGAAAACCTGAAGAACAAAATAATTGATTATTCTTTAAAATAATCGATTATCTGGGTCTGAGACTTTTGTAAATAGTTTGAACTTTGAGAAACTTCAGAAAAGAGTTAGAACTGATAATCAAATTGAGAAAAACATTTTTGTGGAGTCTTTGTGACATCTTGGAGAGTTTTCATTGTGAATCCAAGAAGAGAAACATTTATGAAAAACTTTGAAAGATCATCATCATCATATCATTCTTAAAAGGGAAGATTAAGATTTGCTTCAAGAATTCCAGGTGAATTCATTCCTTTATTCTGTGTGAATACTTGTAAAATCTTGAGAAGGGTTTCTCAAGGGTAAGGTTTCTTGTAGTGGGTTTCTACAAGGGGTGCTTTCTTGGGGTCAAGAAAGTGGTTATCTTTAGTATTGAAGTATATGCATGTGTGTTTGCTTGTAAACCTTCTTACTTAAAGATAGTGGAAAAAATCTTAATCAAGTGTTGATTAAGGACTGGATGTAGGTCACATGTGGAGTGGCTGAACCAGTATAAAAGACTTGTGCAATCTTCTTCTACCTTATCTTTTACTTTGAGTAGTTTCTTGGTTGAATATTAAAGAAGATAATTCTTGATTAACAAGTGTGTATGAACATTGTTGGTTTAAATCTGACTTAGAGCATTACATTTAAACCTCATTATTTTGTAATCAAGAGAGCATATTGCATTCATACCTTCATAACAAGTCTTTAAATAAGCTTCATTTGAAAATTCAGTCTAAGAAAAGTTTAAGTGAAATAAAGATCCAAATACTCTGATAAATTTTTAAAGGGTCATTAAATCCAATTCACCCCCCTCTTGGATTGTGCCATTCTTTTCTAACATGCTTGTTTTGACCTAAAAATAATACAAATTTATGAAGCACTAGAAATCAATTTGTGCTAGTACGCCTCTTGTTTTGTGAAGAAAATTTTTGCATCAATTATATTCAGTAAAATCCGAGATTCATATATGTTAAAAAGGCATTAAACCCCTGTAAAAAAGAAAAATAAAAATTATAAAAGAAGTTACAAAAATAAACAAAAGGAAAAAGTACAAGAAAAAGCCAAAGAGTAGAAAATTGTGATTAAAATTGATCTCGGTTTTGATTTGTGTTGATTGTTGAAAGCTGTCCAGCCACTTATGCTATTGCTTTGAGTCTTATTTTCTTTTTTAATCTTAGATTTTAATTTGGTAATCCATTCTAGAGCCATTGATAGGAGACTTCTTTGTGTGCTAGCTTCATTTGTGCCTTAATTGTTGCTTGTCTTTCATTGGAATTCCTCCTAGTCATGTCTCTTTAATTCTACCACTTGGTGTAGCTGTTCCTAATTGTTCTTTTTCAGTTTTTGCATTAATATTCCAGCATCTTTAAGGTGTGTTGAGTGCCTCTTGAAGGTGTGGAAGGCCAAGTTCAAGAGAAGCCAACATTGAAGGCTTTTGGTGGTGACCTAGGAAGCTTGCTTCTCCATTGGAGGAAAAGCCTTGAGAATTAAACATCTAAGAGTAACCACCATCAAGGTTACTTCTAAAAGAGGAGTGATACACTTGTGAGGGCTGCAACATTGGTGACTGAAGTGGAGGAAAAAGGAACAACAAATTTAAAAAAAAAAATTTGTGAAAACAAGTAATTAGTAACAAATTTAGTGACGAAAATTTTGCTTTCAAAAATTTCCATTTCTAATCTGTCCCTAAAATTGTCACTAGTTAGTGGTTGAAATTTGGTTTCTAAAATTTTTTAGTGCAGCCACTGTCGCCACCGGCCCGAAACGGGCTTTCGGCATTTCTCTACCACAGCTTCCACCATCTGTGACATATGTGAAAGCCATTAACTGCACTCTTCTAGGGACAGATTTCACTCAACGGATAGCATTACAACACATGTTGAGTCGCTCACAGAGCCTTAACTTCGGTACGTTTTTCATGTTCCCAGGAGACCATGTGACCGACAAGTGTGAGTTTCAAAAAGCAGGGACTTCAATAACTATTCCTTACCTCTCACCGTCGAACTTGTGTGGTTTCATTTGTTCCCTCGTCCTTTACAGGGGATCATACGATGGTATTGTTTCGTCTTCTGTCTATCAAGATGACGAAGGGGTCTTCTACGACAATTACTTAGTCTCCAAAAATCTAACTTCAGATCACATTTCATTTCACTATTTTAAACCAAAAGATCTTTCCAACGACGTACCATTGAAATTTGAATTTCATTTCTATGAACGGGGTAGTCGTAAAGATTACAGTCAAGAGAGAATAAAAGAGTGTGGAGTCTTCCCAGTGTATGCCTCAAGCATGGAAATTAGAGTTGGAGAATCTGATGATGAAAATGAATTGGAATCCATTTCTCAAATCAATAATAATGAGTCTCAGCCTAGTGAAAATGGAGATGCAGTTGGAGTTGGAGTTGGAGGCTCTAGTAATGAAAATGGATTGGAATCCATCACTCAAATCCATGAGAATGAGTCACAACATGAATCCATTAGAGTTAAAGGCTCTAATAATGATAATTAATGGGAGTGGGGATTTTATGCTTATTAGACTACTTCATTGGTATGAAACTTCACCTAATTCACTTCTTTATTGTAGGCTCCTTATTTTGAACTCTTTTCTTAAATTAAATTATAACTTCAAATATAGTAGTTATATGCTGGAAATACTCTTGATTCTGAAAAATTATAACTTGTATATTACAATAACAATGTGTTCTACTCCAATGTTGAACAGGTTTTCTTTTGAAACTTGGTGGGAAGAGCTCTCTAGCATGGTGGAATAGTCAAAGCAATATTCAGAACTCTTTGATGGTCTATTTCACGTCATTTACAAATAAAAAGAGATTATTTATTCTACAGTAGATGAGTGATATATCAAACTATGATGGTAATGAGTTTATGATTCAAAATAAGAAAACCTTTCTTTGTCTCTTGTCAATAAGATGAGTGATATCAAATTATGATGTGCTAGGAATGTTTCTCTGTTCAGACAATCTAATAAAATAAATGATCTGAATCGAATTGTTTAAATTTGTTTAGTTTTTTCTTGATCGGATCAAATAATATCCAAATCAAATAAATTCAACTTTTATTGATTTTGGATTACGAATTTATATTATATAAATTTGATGATTCAAAAAATGAAAAAATTAAAATTATTATTATTATTTTATTTCATTATTATAATTATCTTAATATTATTTTATAATATGATTTTACTAGTAACGCATAAGTGCAATATTATTTTGTTGTACTAATAACACTCTAGCAATATTACATTTATAGTAATTTTTTTATGATATTATTATTTAATAGTAATATTAATATATTTATAATATTATTATTTTATTAGTTATCATACACTCTCTTATAAATTATCATACAATTCATATTTGGACACACATAGCACACACTCTACCATTCAACTTTGTCACTTTTTTGCTAGTTCAAGAGTCGTTGTTCAATTAATTTTAATCTAGCAATTAGACTTAGTACCAAAAAAATTTAGCATTTATTTTCACTCAATATATTATTTGCATATTGGCATTTAAGTTGAGAAAAAAATGGATGAGGAGTACTTTAATAATAATTGTAACTTAGAAAATTATTTTATGTTCAAGAGACTCTTCATTTAAATATTTATTAACTTTAAATGTTAAAGTATGTTTAAATACTTTAATTTCATATTTTTTTTATATTATTTTTATTTATTCTTAGATTTTATTTATACTCTGTAACACCCAATTTTTTATTATTATTTTAATGGCATTTTCGTAATTTTAATAAAGTTATAGGGATATTTTGGGTTCCGGAACGGGCCGTTCCAAAAGTGGAACAGGCTGTTCCAAATGTTGAAAATGTGAAATTTTTGTAGTCCCAGAACGGGCCGTTCTGGTGTGGAGAACGGGCCGTTCTGTTGAGATTTGAGAACGGGCCGTTCTACTTTTTCGGAACGGGCCGTTTTGATTTTGGAACGGGCCGTTCCAGTTGAGAAATTTGCACAAATTCGAAGGATCCGGAACGGGCCGTTCCGAATTCAATACGGGCCGTTCCGGGTACACCAGTTTGCCTATAAATAGGAGGCTGAGGGGTGAAAATTTTAGAGAGAGAAAGAGGAAGAGAGAGAGAGAAAGAGAAAGAAAGAGAGAGAGAAAGGAGGAGGGAATCCAGAGGAGGAGGCTTTGCCCAAGTTTCAACTCCGCTTATCCAGGTAAGGGGGGGGAGTGAGAACCTCGCTCAGGGGTGTGGGGATAATTGTTGGATAGTTTATTTGTCGGATTGGCCCCCAATCCCTTGCCGTTGT